GCATATAAATACATACAAATAATTTTTAATTGGGGCCAGAGACTAAAGAAAACAATAATTTAGAAAAAAATGTTTAATAAAATCTTAGATAATACATATGTATAACAAATTATATTATTATGCAATTTTTCACATTTACTTGATTATCACATCATAATTTTAACATTGTTTCCATCTCAGCGATAATACAGTGATGTTTATGAATGATGCTTGAATTTAAAGATTGAGCATTTTTCACAGCTTCGAGAATTTTTTCTTTATCTTTTATAATTGTTCTGACCATCGATTCCGGTAGATCAAACTTCTTTTCCAATTCACAAATTTTCATTTTTTGTATTGAAGTCTTTAATAATGTTAACTTTACATTCCAAAGATAAAGTTTTTCTTTTTTTTGTTTGATGCAGAAGAATCAGTTCTACTTTGGATGACATAGTAGAGTCTCTCAAGTCTCTGTAGATATAACAAACACAGAAATAAATAACACAAAATAAATTGTAGCTATATGTCAATTCCGTGCAACATGTCCGAACATGTAAGCTGAAAAATAATGTGGGGGAGTGAGTAATCAAGAGTTGCGTGACTCTCAAACAAAAGACAAATCAACGAGATTTGAAAATCGTGTAACTCCAGGTTCGCGTAAGTCGGGGTAGTGTAAGTCGAGGTATTACTGTATAAATATTGCTCCCTGTATTATTTTGAAAGAAGTATAAATTTACATAATAGTGTTCTGTAAAGAATTCATATAACCATCTAGTTTCCTTTTTTATACATAAATGGANACATTTACTTGATTATCACACCATAATTTTAACATTGTTTCCATCTCAGTGATAATACAGTGACATTTACGAATGATGCTTGAATTTAAAGATTGAGCATTTTTCACAGCTTCAAGAATTTTTTCTTTACCTTTTATAATTGTTCTGACCATCGATTCCGGTAGATCAAACTTCTTTGCCAATTCACAAATTTTCATTTTTGTATCAAAGTCTTTAATAATGTTAACTTTACATTCAAAAGATAAAGTTTTTCTTTTCTTGTTTGTTGCAGAAGAATCAGTTCTACTTCGTTTGGAAGACATAGTAGAGTCTCTCAAGTGTCTGTAGATATAACAAACACAGAAATAAATAACACAAAATAAATTGTAGCTATATGTCGATTCCACGCAACACGTCTGAACATATAAGCTGAAAAATAGTGTGGAGGAGTGAGTAATCAAGAGTTGCGTGACTCTCAAACAAAAGGCAAATCAATGAGATTTGAAAATCGTGTAACTCCAGGTTCGTGTAAGTCGGGGTAGCGTAAGTCAAGGTATTACTGTGTAAATATTGCTCCCTGTATTATTTTGAAAGAAGTATAAATTTACATAATAGTGTTCTGTAAAGAATTCATATAACCATCTAGTTTCCTTTTTTATACATAAATGGACGGTTTCCTTCCTGTTATAATTAACATAATAAACAGCTCTATTCATTCAATAGTCTAAGCCACAAATTCTCTTATTTTAATCTATAGATTTACAGTTCATATAACCATTCCCCATGCTGGACATGGTGGAGTGATTATGTTTGCCATTTGTTATGCCATTTATGGTAAATTTTTTATTTATTTGAAAATATATAACATTGTCATTTTTTTTCATTAACTTACATAATTATTTAAATGTTTTTCAGATAAAATCTTCATTAGATTATCAACAGATGCTTGATATTGTATCCTCTCTACTTCTAGAGGAATCATACACTCTTCTTGTTGCTGATTATTTTAGCCCATTACTATTAGAATTATTAACTCATTGTAAAATATCAGAAAATCTACATTACAGAACATGCTTTAGTAAATATGAAATCATTGGAATTATTCTTGCAAAATTAGTTGGAAAATATTCTGTTGTTTCTGAGTAAGTATTTTAACCTCAAATGTTTTGTATAATTTGATTATCAAACAGTAAAACAAAATAATTCCTTAAAATTCATTTACCATTAAATCCTGTTAGACTTTGTTGTAGGAGTCAAAATCAGATGATTTTAAGAATAGGAAGAATACTTTGAAAATGATTACTTAAAAAAATTTAATCAACTTCTATAATGAAGCTAAATAGAATATTAATACTAAATTAATTTGGTTGTAGTGAATATTTATATAATTTTATGTAAACAAATTATGATACTGAATAATATGGTTAACATATTTAATACTAATATTTATAATTAATTTCAAAAAAGGATAAAAAAGTAAATGAAAGAAGGAATGTTGTTATTTTAAAAAAAATTAATTTTTGTTATTAAATAACAAATATATATTTTATTATTTGTATAAAAATTTTTGCTATATAAAAAAACCTGTTTTTATATTATTATTATTATGTTAGGTTTAGTGAGTTATACTCGGTTGACACTGGTGGCTGTGTACTATGCCGGACCAGAGTCAAGGCATAGCAACAAAACAAAACTAAAATTAAATAAGTGTGTCAGTGTCTGTATTCAGGAATTTCCTAACAATATGGCATGTATTCAATATAATGGCCTTCTGTAGTGTGATGTATGTATTTCTATTCAATTGTATGTTTCCAGGCTTTTGTGCAGTGTGTAAATACTGTACAAAAGCCTGGGAACATACAATTGAATACATATTAAATACAGCATACAATTGAAGCCTGGGAACAACAAAATAAATATAAAAAGACATTGAAAGGGAGAAAACTGATTGAAATAAAAGATATAATTGTAATTTTTTCATAAATGATTACCGTAACTTCACAACTTAAAAAATCTCATGCTGTATAAGCAGGGATAAATAAGTTATTATCAATTAGTTTTGTCAATTAAAACAGTTATGTGAGACTGCTTAAATGCCTCTCTTGACCAACTGCCTCATCCCGATTTCATCACGAATCGGAAGGGTCCATCTCAAAACTCTATGATAGCAGGTGGCATGTCCTGAAAATGCAGGTGATAAGTTATGGCAGTGCTTATCAATTATAGACAGGTGCATACTTCATTGGGCCAAACTGTACAATTTCAAAAGATTTCAATGATTCACTTTTACTGTAAAAACATTCATATTGAAATTACAATGAAGTTATGAAACAAAATGGAAGACACTCAAACTAAATTATTATTTGAGAAAATTAATGTATGAAGTGAACATAATGATTGTAAAAGCCTTACTGTCCNACCAGAGTCAAGGCATAGCAACAAAACAAAACTAAAATTAAATAAGTGTGTCAGTGTCTGTATTCAGGAATTTCCTAACAATATGGCATGTATTCAATATAATGGCCTTCTATAGTGTGATGTATGTATTTCTATTCAATTGTATGTTTCCAGGCTTTTGTGCAGTGTGTAAATACTGTACAAAAGCCTGGGAACATACAATTGAATACATATTAAATACAGCATACAATTGAAGCCTGGGAACAACAAAATAAATATAAAAAGACATTGAAAGGGAGAAAACTGATTGAAATAAAAGATATAATTGTAATTTTTTCATAAATGATTACCTTAACTTCACAACTTAAAAAATCTCATGCTGTATAAGCAGGGATAAATAAGTTGTTATCAATTAGTTTTGTCAATTAAAAGTTATCATCAATTAGTTTTGTCAATTAAAACAGTCATGTGAGACTGCTTAAATGCCTCTCTTGACCAACTACCTCATCCCGATTTCATCACGAATCGGAAGGGTCCATCTCAAAACTCTATGGTAACAGGTGGCGTGTCCTGAAAATGCAGGTGATAAGTTACGGCAGTGCTTATCGATTATAGACAGGTGCATACTTCATTGGACCAAACTGTACAATTTCAAAAGATTTCAATGATTCACTTTTACTGTAAAAACATTCATATTGAAATTACAATGAAGTTATGAAAAAAAATGTAAGACACTCAAACTAAATTATTATTTGAGAAAATTAATGTATGAAGTGAACATAATGATTGTAAAAGCCTTACTGTCCTTAAATTCTAATGTTATTGTTAATTGTCTACTTGGACTTTACTTATTAATAGGACTTAATACTGGTGTTTAAAGATTGGCACAGCAATGAGAGTTAGTTCAGGAAAGAACAAAATTTCTTTATTATATCTATTACTACAGGTGATATAATAAAGAAATTTTATTCTTTCCTGAACTAACTCTCATTGCTGTACCAATCTTTAAACACCAGTATTAAGTCCTATTAATAAGTAAAGTCCAAGTAGACAATTAACAATAACATTAGAATTTAAGGACAGTAAGGCTTTTACAATCATTATGTTCACTTCATACATTAATTTTCTCAAATAATAATTTAGTTTGAGTGTCTTCCATTTTGTTTCATAACTTCATTGTAATTTCAATATGAATGTTTTTACAGTAAAAGTGAATCATTGAAATCTTTTGAAATTGTACAGTTTGGTCCAATGAAGTATGCACCTGTCTATAATTGATAAGCACTGCCATAACTTATCACCTGCATTTTCAGGACATGCCACCTGCTATCATAGAGTTTTGAGATGGACCCTTCCGATTCGTGATGAAATCGGGATGAGGCAGTTGGTCAAGAGAGGCATTTAAGCAGTCTCACATAACTGTTTTAATTGACAAAACTAATTGATAATAACTTATTTATCCCTGCTTATATAGCATGAGATTTTTTAAGTTGTGAAGTTACGGTAATCATTTATGAAAAAATTACAATTATATCTTTTATTTCAATCAGTTTTCTCCCTTTCAATGTCTTTTTATATTTATTTTGTTGTTCCCAGGCTTCAATTGTATGCTGTATTTAATATGTATTCAATTGTATGTTCCCAGGCTTTTGTACAGTATTTACACACTGCACAAAAGCCTGGAAACATACAATTGAATAGAAATACATACATCACACTACAGAAGGCCATTATATTGAATACATGCCATATTGTTAGGAAATTCCTGAATACAGACACTGACACACTTATTTAATTTTAGTTTTGTTTTGTTGCTATGCCTTGACTCTGGTTCCGGCATAGTAC